ACGACTGGTCGGCACGGAGTCAGTATACCGTGTCTGAGTGCGGTATTGACTCAAGCAAAGTGCAATATCACACACACACACACACACACACACACACACACACACACACACACACACACACACATCGCTATATAAGTGCAATAATCTTGACCGCTACCCTAAGCTCAATTTTGCCTCACCACCTCAATTTAGTATAATACTTTGCTTCGTGGACATATCCTTTATGTCGATGAACAAAATCCTACACTGTCCCGAGGCGGAATAGGTTCCCATCATCCATGTTTATTGCATGATGTGAGGCAGGTGGGTTATACAGTGTGTGACCTGGTTCATTGTGTGTCGTCTCGACCAAGCGACGTAGATTTGTGCCCCTTGTGTCATAGATGTTACCTAGGTTTGCCTGAATAAAGACTGCATTTGGCTTTGTTTCTCTTTGGGGTGTCATGATCTATCGTTGTGGGTTCAAGTTCCAGATAACGCCATATTCGCGCTTGGGTTTCACCAAACTAGTAAAACCTGCTTTTCTTTCCCCAAACAGGCTGTAAAATAATTGAAATACCATTGAGCGATGATTCACAGTGTGGGACTACCGTACTTTCGCGGATTTCATCGAAAGCCGAACTGTTTGCATAAGAGAGAGTAACAAGCCCGTCTCGATAAATGTAGGTCGCCCAAAGAATAAAATTATATTATTTCTGCAACAAAAACAAAACTCATTCACCCAAATAAAATGACTGCCGTGGGCATTTCTTGATATATACTACTCAAAGAGGATCAAGTTTTTGTAATATTAAAAAAATCATCCAACAAATAAAGATTGGAATATGCCGGTACACAATGATTGGGTAACCCCTATAGGACCCCAATTTCATGATGACGGGTGCATGCAGTCATGGACGAGACCTGTGTCTGTACGTAATGTTGCCAGAGTCGTTGCACATTATTATCAGAAATCACAACAACCTTTGCTACTGAGGACTGCAACAACTGAATGCACGTGTGTCCCCTCAACTTCAAAGACGTCGTTTGACGACCAAAGAATAAGGCAGATGCATAGGCATGCTTGAAACTGGGTCAACACAACGTCACGCAATAGTGATCAGAAGGGCATGGAATCGATACCAGACGTTTCGATCAGCTACCCAACGACATGCAAGTGGTCGACAGCGTTCCAACACACAAGAAGATAGATTTCTCCGGATTAAAGCAAGACGTCTTCACGTCGTGACTGCCACCACACTCAGAAATGACCTGGTGATATGGAGTGGTATCAATCATGATTAGTAGAGTTAAAAGAACCGATCTCCGTGTCCTACAGCGGGGTTCGATGACAGGTGTGCGGTACGGGGATTTCATGTGTTAGAGACCGTGTGATGGTGCATTTGGACCGGACTTCATCCTCATGGACGATAACGTGTGCCATGGTCGTTGATCCCTATTTTTGAGCAAACGCCCTGTCCTTCCGGAAACTCTTCGACCACCTCCGTGGTCTAGTGGTAGAGCGTCCGCCCGGAGAACGGAAGGTCCGTGGTTCGATCCCCGGTCGCGTCATACAAGCATACATTGAAAGATGGTACTTTTTGTACCCTGTCAGGCGCTCCGCATTAAGGGGCTAAAACAAGAACTGGTTGACCCGGAGTCATGATCAGTATACTGTGTCTGAGTGGGGTATTCATGTTAAACTGCGGCATGGTATCTCAGGGGGCTAGCACTATCAATCGGCATCGGTCCGGACTAGTACAAGCAGCCACACACACACACGTGCATGCACGTCGCTTTATCAGCGAAATTAATCTTGGACGCGACGTTGAACACCACCTCCGGAAACTCTTTAGGAACGCGGCTGTACCCCTACTGAGGAGTGGAACAATCTTCCAGACACTTACAGAGAGCATGAGACGACGGTGCCAGGCTGTGATCACATTACGGGGATCACATGCTTTGGACAATGAATTTGCTTTCGCGATATTTTGACGTTTCAGTTTTAGTCAGATACTCTCATTTTGACGGGTGATCTGACGGACCATTGGTCAAATGTTGTTTGTGTGGCACATGACAAATTAAAATGACTTCAAGCAGTATTGTCTTTGGCTATGTCAATTTGAAGTATTAAGTGGTGATCCTTAACAAACGTTGAGTAGTATATTATCAACCCAAGATTTAAGTGCACCCATGCTTTATTAAATTGTTTTCGTATTTTTGCCAACGTTTGGTTCGGTTGAAATATAAGTTTATATACAATTATACAGCTCATTACTTTTGTATTTTTTTACTGAAGTTTTTGGGGTCGTTAAGGATATGATATTAATAAATGCTAATACTGTTCTAAGGGCAGGGAGTTTAGTATCCTTAAAATAACATATATGTTTTCAATTCTGTGACATATCTATATCGTTATCATTCCACCTTCAGAGGAAGCATTTTTGTTACACAAACATGTGACAGTTAGCTTAAACAAGTGCCTTCATTGACAACCTTTCATTAAACATATGGGGCGATCGGGTAGCCTAGTCGTTAAAGCGTTCTCTCGTCACGCCGAAGACCCGGGTTCGATTCCCAACATGGGTACAATGTGTGAAGCCCATTTCTGATGTCCCCAGCTGTGATATTGCTTGAATATTGCTAAAAGCGGCGTAAAACCATACTCACCCACTCACTCACTCACTCATTAAACATATATATACAGACAACGGAAACTATGTTAAGTATTGAACATGGTAGTAAATAAAGCGCATATACATAAATGGTAAAACAACAAATGTAAAATTGATGTCAAGGAGCATAAATTGTTGTAAATTAGACTGTGATTTAAATGTGTTTTATTTACAAAATATATGTGCACACTTCTAAATATAAATATGCTATATATTAATTGGCATGGAATATCATCATAAGGATTCATGTGGAACGGGATATGACAACTCAGATGATAATATATTTTTATACTAAAAGTTGTAAGAGAGCATCTATTTGTTGTATGGGTGTGTGTATTTTTTAAATGAATGCTATGTTCAGAAATATGCTCAAAAGAAATAGTTTGTTGGCAGTGGTGAATACAAATCAAATGGATGCTCCCTAATAGCATTATGATAAGGACTTGTAAGATTGATGTCAGAGAATGTTTTCACACATAATACACTGACAGTGTGGACACTGCTACAAGACATGCGTCTCTGAAGGAAGAAGCAGAACACAAACACAGGATAAACAGAATACTTTCTATTATTTGTAAAACCTGTGACTAAATTTATTTTTTCCAGTATTTTATTTTTTAAAATGGTTGGTTCCTAAGAGTGGCTTGGTACAAATCTACCTTAAACTGACACCGGCCATGTCAGAGAACTAATCTGATATGTATCGGAGATGTGTTCACAAATATATTTATCACACCTGTGAACACACGTGAATATCCGGCTTGGAATAGGCCTTCAGCTACCCATGCTTTTCGTAGACAGGATCGGGTGGTCAGGCTCGCTGACTTGGTTGATGCAAGTGATCGTATCCCAATTACGTGGATCGATGCTCATGATTTCAATTAGTGGATTGCCTGGTCCAGACTCGATTATTTACAGAATACCGTCATATAGCTGGTATGTTACACAGTGCGGTGTTAAACAACAAACAAACAAACAAACAAACACTTGTGAAAAACTCATTGTTGAAAAACAAATTGAGCATACAATTTACATTTTAAAATGTAATGAAATTAGTTTTTACATGGACCTCAACAGCAACACACTGAGTCTCCAATAATGCCCATGCTGTACAATCGTAATTTAATTGGCTTTAATCTTTGCTTTGTATGCATTTGGTTTTCCACACGTAAATAGGCTTATCTGCCATTAAGAGTCCACATGGTATCAACTGTTATGCTGCTTCGTTTATGTATTAATCAGAATTTTAGCACTATTCTATGCTAATGTTGTTTTTCGGATTTACAAACACATTTATAGTAACGACTTGAAATAATGTAGCCAAAAAGGGGGGGGGGGGGGGGGGGGGGGGGGCATCTGTTTCATGAGTAAAAACACATTCTAGTTATATTTAAATTTATTTTGCCAAATGAAAAGTGCTTAGGCGCAATCGAGTCATCTTTATTACGAGTTGCCCTTGACTTTGATATACAGGTGTAGAGTTTCTGTCCTTTTATAAAACAAATCCATGGGAATTTATCGGGTTTTTTTAAATTTTGGTATTTCCGTATTTGTTGCAATTTATGCCCCAAAATGAAAAAGATCAGGTGGTGCTTAATAAAGGCTGATATATATATATATATATATATCTTCCAAATTCACCGGAGACCACATTTCCGAGAAAACATTAAAATCGGGTAGTTCACTGTTTCAAATACTGATAACAAATACTATGGAGGTAAGTCAACACTTCGTGCTATCTTTAATACAAACATGGCGTCTGTTGCTTTTTCCACTAACATTTAATTGCTATTGTGAATATTCAACAGGTATGGTATTCTTTGTAATTGTTCTTTTATGTTGTTGGCCGCACTTTAAATGCAGCTAATAATTATTTTGCATACTTTAGTCAGTGTATTTCTGTGTAACATTACTCCCCTCTACATTGACAGAGACCGATATAGTCCACGACACTGGTTGTCATGGCGGTTGCTATGAGTCCGTCAGTCCACGACAGGAATGAGCAGCACTCAATGTGACTCACCCAAGCCTGTCACACACGTCTACACCTCTACATCGAACTAATGCTATTTTGAGCTACTGAGTGTGTATTAACGGCGAATTATATGATCAGTAATTTCATTTGGCTGACACGGCATTTTGACCCGTGTTTATATACCGAAACACTTTGAAAACGTATATTCGATTTCTTTTGTAATATTTGGCAAAATGGCCAGAAAAATAAACTTAAGTAGTTCTGGGTATTCAGGTTTGACTGCTCACAGGCTACATTGTCATGTGTGGAGTATTTCAGACTCCGACATAAAACAGCATTCATTCAGATCATCTGGATAGGTTTCTTGAGAAATGGCAATTGTTCTGCTTAACTTCGTCACAATCACCAACCCTTACCCCCCCAACCTCACCCCATCCTTCATTTACCCCACCTTCCCACCCCCACCAGTCTCCCACAACTACCAACCCCCTACCTACCCACCAACACCCTTCATCTATCACCCCACAACTACCAACCCCCTACCTACCCACCAACACCCTTCATCTATCACCCCCACCACAACCAGACTCCAACAACTACCAACCCCCTACCTACCCACCAACACCCTTCATCTATCACCCCACAACTACCAACCCCCTACCTACCCACCAACACCCTTCATCTATCACCCCCACCACCACCAGTCTCCAACAACTACCAACCCACCAACACCCATCATCTATCACTCCACAACTACCAACCCCCTACCTACCCACCAATGCCCTTCATCTATCAGATTCAGATACTGCAGTAATCTAGACTTGCATGGGCTGTTTTGCATATAGTTGTTTTCGAGTCTGTGTGGCAGACTAAAGCTCCTATTGCAGGCCCATGCACCAGTCCACGAGCTACCCTTATCCTTGCACAATCCCAACCAATATGCGCTAATCCTACCACGTGACACCAGTATTTATTTTTTTTGCCTGGAGAACAAGTTTGAACGTTTCATTCACCACGATAGACATGTTATTGATGACCGTGTAACGTGTCTGCCCAGACAGGTAGGGCAAAGACACAGCTTGCGGTACCCCTAGTGACGACCTGGTAGTGTAAACATTTCCAGGTATCAAGCAGTATAGATTTTCCCATGCCCAGGGTACACTTCCCGGTAAGTGATTATTGAGTTTATAATCCATTTGTAATTGAAGATGGACTGACAGGTATTGAGTTTATAATCCATTTGCAATTGAAGATGGACAGACAGGTATTGAGTTTATAATCCATTTCCAATTGAAGATGGACTGACAGGTATTGAGTTTATAATCCATTTGCAATTGAAGATGGACAGACAGGTATTGAGTTTATAATCCATTTCCAATTGAAGATGGACAGACAGGTATTGAGTTTATAATCCATTTGCAATTGAAGATGGACAGACAGGTATTGAGTTTATAATCCATTTGCAATTGAAGATGGACAGACAGGTATTGAGTTTATAATCCATTTCCAATTGAAGATGGACAGACAGGTATTGAGTTTATAATCCATTTGCAATTGAAGATGGACAGACAGGTATGAGTATAATCCATTTGCAATTGAAGATGGACAGACAGGTATTGAGTTTATAATCCATTTCCAATTGAAGATGGACAGACAGGTATTGAGTTTATAATCCATTTGCAATTGAAGATGGACAGACAGGTATGAGTATAATCCATTTGCAATTGAAGATGGACAGACAGGTATTGAGTTTATAATCCATTTGCAATTGAAGATGGACAGACAGGTATTGAGTTTATAATCCATTTGCAATTGAAGATGGACTGACAGGTATTGAATTTATAATCCATATGCAATTGAAGATGGACTGACAGGTATTGAGTTTATAATCCATTTCCAATTGAAGATGGACCGACAGGTATTGAGTTAATAATCCATTTGCAAATGAAGATGGACCGACAGGTAATGAGTTTATAATCCATTTGCAATTGAAGATGGACAGAGAGGTATTGAGTTTATAATCCATTTGCAGAGAGAGAGGGCGAGCAGATTTACTTGCAATTAACTACTCAAACAATGTACTACATTGACCAGTATACTTTGTTATGTTATCATCATAAAATGTACAATCAATTGAGAAGTAACATTCACTTATATACAAGCTTAGGGGTTCACTCCCATTATGACTACTAAAAGTGATAAAATGAGCCCACCTCTGGAACAATGGATTACTCCCGTCGGCATGTGTACTCTGCCAATATACACAAGTAGAGATTGCTGCAGAGCATCAATTGTTCCCCGCCATATAATGTCATATACAGAAGAATGAAGTGTAAGGATTGTAAGCAATGGGAGGAGAGGATTCGTGTAAAGTACAAATTGGTTGTTATTAATCTAGTTATCTTTGGAAAGCACAATGAAAGAAACAGTGTCTTTAAATGGTCAGCTCAAGGAACACCAAGGCAAGAAAACACATAACTGGGCCTGTCAGGCAGAACTTGGTATATACACACTATTAGTACCAGTAATATATAAAATAATTGATTACAAGTCTTATATAGATAACACAAGAAATGTCATTCTTAAACATGCTTTGGCAGCAAATATAAAATCTTTCTGGTCAAAATGTTGGCTAGTTTAAAAAACAACAACAGACTTTTGAAATAGTAAACACAAAAAATGTAATGAATCCACTGCAAATAAACTTCAGTCCACATGTACACATATCTTCACGCATTCATTAAGGGATTCCCATTTATCCAACAGCAAGTTAAGAACATACAGGTTGGTCAAATCATCTGTAAATTTTGAAAATTATCTTGCATAATGTAAAAACAAAGCTCATAGGTCACATTTCTCAAAACTTCGTTTAAGTAATCACAAACTAAAAATTGAAACTGGTATATATACAAAAACACCAACCCCGCTGGTACAACGTCTCTGTGAAACATGTGATGGCTTACAAGATGAGCAACATTATGCACTGCCTTGTATAAAATACAACCAAGAAAGAGAATCACAAATAATCCTCAATCATGATAAAGAATTGTTAAAAAGGAACAATTGTTAATAATTTTTACAAACAGTTATCCAGAAACAATTCCAAATATCGGTTATCATATCTACAATTATAAACAAATTCCTTGTATGTTCAACATTACTATAGTTTGCACAATTCTCAAAGTGTTTCCATATCATTATAATACACTTGTTTTAAAACAAAATTGTTATAATGTACCTCCTTTGCAATTGGAATGTATCTCTGTATTTGCACTTATTATGCATTTTGAAGTTTGTGATAGTGTAATACTGCCACTGTTTCTTCATGGAATGTTACGCAATACATATCTCATCTTAAACATCTTTGTTGTATGATAGTTTGTTACAGTTGTGGGGGCACGGTTTGCCCAATCGCCTAAGGCTATGGAGAGTTGTGTCCCTTGGGCACTACAGAAACCTATGACAGTGTGTTCGAATCCCGGTTCGCCCCGATTATGTAGTCAGCACTATACCCGTGCTCGTGGGTTTCACCAAAGTGGTGAATGTCTAAGACCTGCATCAATTCGGGCTTTCCTCCCACATCAAGTTGACACGTGGTGATATTAGTGGAATACTATTCAAAGTGGCGTTAAACCTAACTCACTCATGACTCTTGTGTACGGTTCCGTTTGGTTTACTTGGTTTATGTTGTGATTACTTCCGGTTTAGATTTGATTTGAAGATTTGAGGTATGTTTAGAAGAATGTTAGTATGTTCAACCATAGTGAATATATCATGCAACCGTATTATTTTTTGGAAATAAATTGCAAACTATAGTCCAACCTGTTGATTTCCTATATATCCAGAAGCAAAACACATATACGTTTGAATAATCTTAAAGTTGCAATAGCAGTGTGAAGGGAGAAAAATTGAGTGCGCGTTACATGCTGTGAATTCCTTGCTGGCTGCCTGAATAACATACGACACATTGCAAAGGTAGTGCGCAATAGAGCTATTCTGGTAAGGGAGATAATCACTCATTCTCAGCGATACAGCTTGAATAAGATACGATGTATAGCATTGCAAGGTCAGTGCGTGATACAGCTATATACTACGCCAAAAGCTAAAGGAGATAATCGCTGCGCAATAGTTTATTCTTACAAAATATAAACCGGTTAACTTTAGCGACAGGAGATATATATCCCTGAACATTTTTACAGCAAAATGAACAAATTGCATCGATTGTCTATATTAAGAAACATGACTAAATCACAGAATGTGACAGGCGGTTGGTTAAAACAGGTCCGAATCGTCAAAGGCGCCGTGATTCGCTGTGCAGAGTTGCGTCCCTTGGGCACGCCAGAAACCTATGATTGTGGGTTTTGAATCCCGGTTCGCCCCAATTATGTTTCTAGGTTTGTCAGCACTATACCCGTGCTCGTGGGTTTCACCGAAGTGGTAAACGTCTGAGACCTGCATCACTTCGGGCTTTCCTCCCACATTAAGCTGACACGCCGCGATATGACTGGAATACTGTTAAAAGCGGCGTTAAACCCAACTCACTCACTCACTATTTGTAATGGGTATCTGAAAAGTCTATGGGACTTTATTGCACACGCATTTCCTTTTTTTATACAAATGCCTATAACAGTCATATTTAGTCTACTTTCTCTTCAAGTTCTCGATAATTTGTTCATTTTTAGGTTTATTTTAACCCTGAATTGCATGACATTTGTCAGAAAGTTGACAGCAATGATTGGAGGGCAACAATGCACACGTGCCGGGTGATCACATCACTTAGCGGGACTATGCGGCCTGAATAGGCTACAGCTCTCATTTACTGCGGAAGAACCATGTTTATCAAATTCAATATGTAAGGGAGGTAATCACATTGTAGTGGTGTAAGAATTAAACAGGGTGGAATTGAAACTAATATTGTTTTAAACATGCCTGTGTTGATTAAACATCCCTATGGGGGAAACACTGACCCAGTTTCTATGTGGTGAGATATAAGCACTTTTGGACAGTGTGAATAATTGACGTGTCAGGCTACAGAAGTAAATATATTTCCATTAGGGAGGTAACTCTAAAAATGAAATAGGGTTCATGTTTAAAAATAACAAACGCACTCGCAGCGTTGTGGGTTTCAATTTTTACTCTATCTGCATGTCTCCATGGCAAAATCTTTTTCATTATAAATAATACTACAATATTGTAGCTATTACTTTGAAAAGATTAATTAAGAAAAAATATTAATAACTTTACCACTGTAAATATATCAATGTCAACAGTGCCATGCATACCACTATGATCGTGTCAACTTAATACCCCATGTTCCTTGAAATTTAAAACAATAAATGTTTCAGGAAGTCCTTGTTGTGAAAATATATAACTAGTTTTATTTTCATATTGTTTGTTTTCTACTTTTATGTTACATAAATATTTAAATTGAAATCTGCCATATTCTCATTCCTGATGCTGAAGGAACCACATGCAAATTATCTTCTGGGTTACGCATGGGCGCTGTATGACAGTACAGGTATACTTGCGCGTCGACCCGTGAAGATTCCGGGGTAGAATAGGTCTTCAGCAACCGATACTTGCGGTAAAAGGCGACTATGCTCGTCGTAAAAGGCGACTTTCGGGATCGGGTGGTCAGGCTCGCTGACTTGGTTGATACATGCTATCGATCCCAATTGCGTTGGTCGATACTCATGATGTCAATCACTGGATTGTCTGGTCCAGACTCGATTATTTTACAGACCGCCGTCATATAGCTGGAATATTGCTGAGTGCGGCGTTAAACAACAAACAAACAAACAACTTGCGCGTCAATCTGTAGGTATGCTACAACATTTATTTCCGCCGTGTTGATCCTCTGGATCAAAGTTACCGTGTATTTGTTTAAATCTAAATGCCATGTTACCAACTTGTCCCCAGTTTAACGAATGAGCCGTAAACAAGAAGACCGTCAGACGGTAGCAGAAAGAAATATATATATTGACTCAGGAAGCCTACGTCAGTTCTGGGTTTTTTTGCGTACAGCTATGTTTTCTTTCGGTCAACAAAAGCTGTCAGAGCGTATCTCGGGACACAAACATAACATTTACCTCCTTAGCAACAGCTTCCTTAGCAACAAGGGTCATTGGTTTTACATGCTGATATTGATTACACGGATTCGCGGAATCACAATGGCTGCAAATGTTTGAAGGTGCACGCGTAAATCGTGGGTATTATTTGATTTCTACGTGCAAATATCTGATTTGCTTTTTAGGCCAGTCTCGTAAATCACGCGTAATCGTGTGACAGCTGATTCAATGTGAACACCTATTTCATAATTATCTTTGATTGATTTTGTCCATATTGAAAGATTTTAACTATGGTCGCTTTCATTATTTAAATTATCCTTCCCTGAAGATAGAGGATAGCACACAGACGAACGCATGTTTGCTCATTATAAGGGTATGGTTCGTTGACTTTCTTGAAAGGGTTGAAATGGGAGCTCGAGTTCGATTCGGGTCGAGACACCACTCGAGTTGTAGACGAAACCTCGAGAGAGTTACCTCCCTTCTGCAAGACAACATGGCGCCGTTGGCTTTGTCGGATCCCATGTATAGTCATCTGAGGACAAATGTAAAACTGTATTCTCTCTCTGTGGAATACAGTTGTCTTCTGAAAGCGGTACCGCTTCAACGATGAGAAACCATGTCAAGATGAAGCACCGATGCTGATCGACAGTTCAGCATCGTCAAATGCAAAACAATCGACTCTCCTCAACTTCACGAGAAGGTATAAACATAATAAAAACTAAATTACACAAGATTGGCGATAATAAAGGCACATGTTTTATTGTTCAACTAAATACCTGTAATAACGACCTTATTATACCAACTGTGTTCACAATCATGGCGAATTGTTATTGTTGTGGCGAATTGCTATGACGCCAAACGTTATGGCGTTTTATGATCGCAATGTGTATTAAAAAGCGAGAGTTAGGGAAGTAACTCGCTTAGCAGAGGTACCACTGTACATGACCAACGCACACAACAACACAAGACCTGAGTAAACAGACAGTCTGTTTATTGGACAGCCACAGAATCAATATATACTCATTCACAATAGAAGTGTTTACAATAAATTATTAGAGCGTGTTTACCATCAGTTATAGAAGATCATATATGCGAAGAACTTTGGATTAACATAATATAGTGAGTGAGTGAGTTGGATTTAACGCCGCTTTTAACAGTATTCCAGTTATATCGCGGCGTGTCAGCTTAATGTGGGAGGAAAGCCCGAAGCGATGCAGGTCTCAGACGTTTACCACTTCGGTGAAACCCACGAGCACGGGTATGGTGCTGACAAACCTAGAAACATAATCGGGGCGAACCGGGATTCGAACCCACAATCATAGGTTTCTGGCGTGCCCAAGGGACGCAACTCTGCACAGCGAATCACGGCGCATTAGACGACTGGGCCACCCGTGCCCCCGAACATAATAGAGAATAATTACACAAGATACATACTACATTTGTCACGATACATATTGCAAGGTACACAACGTAACACAACAGTTCACGTATAATTGAATATAGCACACCCGACACACTCCAACTAATACACTTCCCGAGTGCATTCACACAAAATACATTCCAATTCCGCCACAATACATATTCGAGGTGGTAAACAACTTAAGCAAGTTAACAGAATTGACATAATCTATACACAGAAGTAGTACAATTGGTATATTTACATTGCGTTCACATGAAGTTTATGCAAGGCAGAAGTAAAGATCATTTCATAAATAAATTGTGGACTTTTATCATTTGAGGCCATGTCGCTGTGGAAGATAGTCAACCAGAGGCGAAAGAGAGACTTTCCATACTTTCTTAGTATGGGATTAGTCTTAGGATTATGCCAGGAAAGAGAACTGTGGAAGAGAGAACGTTCTCAACACTGGTGGAACAATGTCGTCAAACGATCCTTTGATGATAAACTGTGGATCGATAACTTTCGCATGACACGCGAAACATGTTATGTTCTTTGCAAGGAACTACAACCGTATTTTCCTGCACAGGATTTCATATGCTTACGTAAGCAAATAGAGAATCTGTTCACATGACCAGAAATACTCCAGGAGCATTTCTACTTATGAGTAAATATACTTTTACTAGACCTCATCAGGTGTAGCAAATATACTTTTACTCATGCCTCTTTACTCCTAGAGTATATTTACTCACGTAAGCAAATACGTTCACATGCCACCATATGTAACTTTACTTATGAAAGTATATATACTCACATAAGTAAAAGTGTCCGTGTGAATGGGGCTTAAGATTTGCACACAAGTACAGCAAGGCCGTAGTTAACTTTTTTGACAGGGGCGGGGGCAAATATTTGTACAAGTATCACTTGTCCCCAACTTGATTCAAATAAAACTGTTTTCTATATTAAAAAATCCAGGGGTGGATGGGGGGTGGTTATACGTGGTGATTTGATAAGCGTGGGTGATAAACAGCTGTACATAAAGATACAGGTATTAACGCTTTGCCTTTGTTTGCCTAGCGCTCTCTTTCTGCGACTTTTGTCTGTTTTTCTATATGTATTGAGTGAGTGAGTGATTGAGTATGGTTTTACGCCGCTTTTAGCAATATTCCAGCAATATCACGGCGGGGGACACCAGAAATGGGCTTCACACATCGTACCCATGTCGGGAATCGAACCCGGGTCTTCGGCGTGACGAGCGAACGCTTTAACCACTAGGCTACCCGACCACCCCTATATGTATTGAGACCAGTTTGGGAAAACTTTTTTGTGCTAAAATTCTTTTGAAGTTAGTTGTATGTTTGTAATATTTAGATCCAGGCGTACCTTTACTGTCAATTCCGATGTTAGTTTGACTCCCCATTATATTGGTTCAAACATGCATGATTAATTATAATTTGTTTGTATTTGTTGTGTCATATTTCAAAGCAATTAAAGAAAGTTTATGGTCACATTTCAAAGTTTCTATAGTTATTAAAATTTCATAAAAGTATATATTTTTTCGTACTTATTTGCCAGATTATGAGCTGAACATACGTGCACCCGAGCAGGCGTGAGTATTGACCTGCGGGTACAAATGTAAAGCGCTCGCACCCGACGCCATCATGTCATTTCGCCTTTCATCGCGGAATCGATTACAATCGTAATCTGAATTCAAAATGGCCGAAGGTGTGCCTTTCATGTGAGGTGAGAATTGCCTTTGGTCTGTATCATATTATTCCGACCCCAATACGGGCGGGTATTGACGTATTCGTGCGTGAGATCATGATACTATCTACTAGTTAGCGCCGGGCACAACCACCCCGTTATAACGGAACGCATTGTCAATACGCCCACTGACCGGCCCAGCTTGGCTGAACAGACTTCTCTATTCTTGTATGAAATGGTCAAGTTCTGTTCGAACAAGACGATTTCAATCAGTGGCTATACTTGCTAACAGAAGAACCAGTGTGAACACTCAGTATTAGGATCATCACGTGTGTGTGTGTGTGTGTGTGTGTGTGTGTGTGTGGCTGCTTGTACTAGTCCGATTTATAGTGCAAGCCCACTGAGATACCATGCCGTAGTTTAACATGAATACCCCACTCAGATACAGTATACTGACTAAGAGCCCACCAATCCTTGTTTCAGTTTGCCGAGCGTCAGTAACAACAAGTACCATCTTTTAACGGGTTTTTTGGTATGACGCGACCGGGGATCGAACCCCAGACCTTCCGCTCTCTGGGCGGACGCTCTACCACTACCACCCTGGAGGTGGTCATATGTTTAACTGTAAGTACTGTTCGGATTGTTGCCCCTGGGGTAACCGGATGCGCTGACCATGAGTTTGTTTCCCAGATTCGGCCCGATTGTGACCCATAACCCGGCTTGCACTATAAAAAATAGTCTGGAAGGTAATCACGGGAATCACGCACGAATACGTAGTTAGCGTTGGGCGTCTCAACGTGTGTGATTCCCGTGATTACCTTCCAGACTATTTTTTATAGTGCAAGGCGGGTTATGGTTTTCGGAAAAAGGGATGGGTCACAATCGGGCCGAATCTGGGAAACAACCTCATGGTCAGCGTGATTCCCGTGCAACTTTTGAGTTGAATTGATTGGTTCAACTGTGTCATATGGCCCTGTGATGCAGGGGTAGCATTATGCAGATGGCTGTTACAATGAATGCTCGTTCCACCCGTGACGAACAGGTCTGGTTGTTGATGAAATATAGTGATAGCTAAATAGACAAATTTTTTATTCATGCACCGATTGTCTTTAAATGTAATATCCAGTTATGTATGACTGTTTAATAATCTCATACCAACTTTGACTGGAGTAGGTCCTATAGTTTTTCAGATATTACATGTAGTAAACGTCGGTACTTTAAATTACCTTCCAGACTATACCTGATCAATCATTTTATCAGCACGTTTTTTTTCAATTAAATCTCGCCGCAGATTATTTGGAATTACAGTCGTCCCAACCCGAAACCCAACCCTACCCTTGCATGACGCCGGCCCATTCCAAACTGGTCTGACTGTCGATATTCTCGACCGCACCCGGAAGCAGTCATCCGAGAACAATTTCACGGGTTGACTCGCGATCCTGCAAATCACCGTCTGAACCACCACGAGAAGTTGATCTACACTCTACTCGCGTAAACACGAGCGACCTCATTTTGTGGACCATCACAACCTCACTACATCCTCATTCAAATCGAAAGACCCGTGCGTGAAAGCGCAACGATCCGATGTCGCCCAACCTGGATGTGGGTAGGTATATGTACATTGTGAGAAAATAGGTTACTCAAACATCGCGTGTACTGTAACCCCATTTGTATTTAAACTAAACTGTAACAATTGGATTAGAATATTCCTTCCACTGAAAGTTATATATACCATACATATTAACTGCCCATCTTCCCTGTCTTCGGAAATGACTTGCGAACATGTGCAACGTAGTGTCGCCTCTAAATCTTCGTTATAACGCGTTTAGCCTACGTTGTTTGAATCGCCCGAGGCTACAAAACCCAATCAAGCGCAGAAAGCTGAGGGTTTTGTATGTAACATGGAATCCGAACACGTCTCATTTGCTGGTGGCAATCAAAATATTTCAGGTTGGAAAGGCTCGAGTTTCACAACTGTGTAGACACAAACCTTTAATCTTATTCTTCATCAATTGTGTGAGGACGCTATAGTTGTGTCATTCCGTTATTTATTCATGTGTACTCATTAACACTTCCGCGTTTTGATGCGTGCTTGTGTTGCGATAGGCAGTCGCTGTAAGGAGTGATACGTCCACTATTAACATTTAGTCCATGACACAGACCGTCATCTGCTTTTCAGCCCACATACGCTGTATCGATGTTTGATGAGCATGTACCCCGTCAGCATCATTTGTTTGGAAACCAAAACATACGTGTCGAATGGACGTAACCGTCTCAACTCGTATATATGTTACTTTTTTATAACTTCACGATTTATTTGGAAGCATAACGATATCAGTTATTCTGTATATGATATCATTTTCTGTTTGGTAGTGTGTTTAGCAGGCATGTGGGACACACAACTACCCCACCCCAACCAAGCCTACACACTTTTTGGCACCGATTTTTATAATATGCGTATACGTTTAGATTTAGTGGTATGCTTTCAGTGTTGTCTTTTGACTTGTCTCTCATGAAGATTCTGAATCAGTGCCATTGGTTTGTTTGTCTGTTGTTTAACGCTACACTCAGCAATATTCCAGCTATATGACGGCGGTCTGTAAATAATCGAGTCTGGACCAGACAATCCAGTGGTTGATATCATGAGCATCTATCCACACAACTGGGATCGGTGACATACATCAACCAAGTCAGCGCGCCTGACCACCCGATCCCGTTAGTCGCTTCTTGCGTAGTGTCATTGGTGACAATGAGGCTGGCCCGTTCTGGGCATGTCAGCACCCAGACCATCAATGATCGAGGGTTTCACCAGAGTTTAATTTCGAACGTGTGTATTTTGAAGCTAGCTGCTTGACGTCGGACGTAACAGAGACGCTACGTGTGCACAGGTTCATCACAATTGTAAGGTCAGATGTTGAGAGCAATACAAAGCATGGCGTAGTCTCCATAAATAATATAAATAGTATTATTTGATCAGGAAATTAAAGTTCAAGTGACGTGATGCAGCCTTTCTGTAACGCTAATTGTTAAAATTCAACAGTGAATGTGTCAGTGTACCTAAACAATAAGAAACATACTAAAGAATTACCATCATTGGGTTTTTTGGTTTTCGGTTCCGCCGACCGTAAATATCAGGAAAACAGAAGAAGAGAAACTCTGTTGAGAGTTTGTTTACGACTGAGTCTGAATACCCCACTCAGCAATACAATCTATCACAAATTGTTCTCATGCACACCCCGACACAAGATATTAAACTCACCAGGACAGCATATGTTTGAATAATTGTTCAGGAACACAGCCATAATATTGTCTTATAATTATTTTTTTTAATATTTAAAGACCATATGTTCACAAAAACAATCAGAATTGAGAATGCTTTATCTTCCGTTTTTCGACCACCGACTTAAAGTTTTTAGAGAAAAATATCTGTAAGTCAACTAATATAAAAAGCCGAACTTGTCACAGCTTACAAACAAAGTATAAGGAAATATCAGTTGCAAAAGTCGATTTTAAAAAGCCAACTTGATTTATTAAGTTGATAATATCTGATTGTTTTACAAACGAGAGATGTGTAAATTATATATTTTATTTCCAATAAGACATAATTTTGACATCGACAAGCAAGAACTCACACATAGTAAGATGTACGGCGATGCCACGACAGATGTGCGAGATGTGTTGTATTAAATGTCGATACATCGATCGCGTTTATGTTCACCTGTGTGTGAGATCTTCATAGTCGATCTGATATATCACCTGGCTGGGGGCTCAGTCGTCTAATGTGAGTTGAAATGGAATTTAACGTCGCGTTTGAGATTATTTCACTTTTATAGCGATCCCATATATGTCGTTCAACATGGCGACTGATGTTATGTATTTTGACGCCAGTTAATGTTGTGTAAGGTGAACTAGCAGGCCCAGACCCAGGATGGATGCCTCCGAGATGACCTGGGTTTGAAGTCAACCGAGTGTGATTCTGAATGAGTCACTCGTCGTCTCTCGTGATAAGGGAGCCTAGCCGCATGTTTTCAATCCATCGAAATTGTCCTTGATAGTGGTTTTTGTGACGGGTTGTATGCTTGTATGTGGTGTTAACCATGATAACATTATTAAGGGAGTATCCATTTGATTTGAAAGGAGGGATGGGGAATTTATTTTGAAAACAATCTCTATTTTTTCCAGCTTTACCATCAAACTATTTATTTATTGAGCAACATCAAACAATCTATTCGTTTTCACTATTAACCACCACCACCACCACCATTCGATTCATGTGTACTAACAGACAGGTGTAAAACAAATAACACGTAACAAAAGGGATGAATTGTGTAGGACACTTTAAAGGGATCCCCGTGCGCATGCTGATAACACCACCAGCATGTGTTTGTTTGTTTGTTGTTTACGCTGCACTCAGCAATATTCCAGCAATATGACGGCGGCCTGTAAATAATCGAGTCTTGACCAGACAGTCCAGTGATTGACATCATGAGCACCGATCCAGGCAATTAGGATACGATGAACTGTGTACGCCACCTGTCGCCCTTGGACAAGTTTTGTTTGTTTGTTTGGCAATATTCCAGCTATATGACGGCGTTATACACATAATCGGGTCTAGACCAGACAAAACGGATAAAAAAACAGTCCTTTCCAGATTAAAGATCCTTTAATAGCCTATGAATATGACACATATTTGAAAAATGTATAATTTATTCTTTTGTAACGATTGTGATGTTAACATGAAAAATAATTCCAATTATTTATCGCTTTTCAATATTCATATTTCGGTTGCTGTCAGGTTCGGAATTTCGATACCGAGTACAGGGGGGTAACTCTTAACGAGGACGAAAGACAACTCTTTCGAGAAAATTGAGCGGCACGCGTGCATGAATTTTTGCGGTCTCTCACTGTCCACTCAGTAGTTCAGTGCTTTCAGTGTCACAACTGGTTGATTGAGGGGATAAGGTAACCGCTTGTAATGCGTATGCATACAGTTTTCGCATTTACTGTTTGATTGGCTTTCTAGAAGTTGGTGAGTAAGTAAGAAAACGTAGGACTTTATGGATAACGACTTCTGGTATTTTGCATATACCTCGTCAGGTTGCATGTTAATGTAGCTGTTAATTCTAAAAATGACCCAAGACCTAACTCCGGCCTCTCATTTAGAAATGGGAACTGGAATACTAAGTAACTGGGCTCTTGTCAGTTATTGTAAGTATTACATACTCATCAAACTTTTTTTTCTTCTCAGGCGCTGAGATATTGCAGTACTTGACACTTCAGGCCTAGCGTCATGCATATCCAACGATACTTGAATACAAGGGGAGGTAAGTAATGACAAACATGATTTACAAAGCAGCTGAAACGGTTTGCAGCAAAGCGTCGCTTCTATAGAGAACTTATATAGACTCCCTGGTTGAAGGCAAAAGTAATGGGATAATTTAATGGGACAAGAAAGCGTGTAAAATTTACACTTTTCCAGCCAAACCCAATCTTGATCTATATAGTTTTTCAACATCACTTCGATGATGTTGAGTATAATACCTCCACATGCTGAGCGGAAGGTCGGTGGTTCGGTCTCCGGTCGCGTCATACCAAACAACTTTAAAAGGGATGGTACTTGTTTTTTTCTGCATGGCGGTCCGCAATACGGGGATAAAACAAGGACTGAACGCTCAGACATCTATCATCGCAATGGGCGATCTTTTTCAATTTATCTTCCCTTCACTAACCCACTAGGTGCGCTGACCCGGACGGTCCAACCTTAAACTGACGGCGCATGTGGTATGCGCGATACGAGCACTACATGTTACTATGACGCCTATAGACAGTTAACTAGTATAACCTTCACCTTTGTCGGCAACGGTCACGCTTGTGTGTGGACAGCATATCTTTTCGCCTAAACAATGATTTATCTATTGCCATGTCCGGAAATAGATGTTCCTTGATTTAATGATATATCAGAGATGGCCACGACTGATTATATTGTATAGTTATCCACTAGATAGGCGTTCGAAGCGATGCGGTGAGATCAGCTGATCGTTCATCCCAGGTCGCTTTGTTGACGTTTTGCAATCGGTACTGAAAGTGTTGCCCTTGATGTATGAATATGAAAATTAAGTAGATTTTGTATACGTTCCAATATCTATGTTGTAGCATCGCCGAGCAGGCTACATCATATGCATGCATTTCAGTATGTACAACGGTGAGGCGATACGGTACGCGAAATGTGAAGGTATCATGCAACGTTGCCCGTAGCCTCAATGTTGTTAATATTGACAACAACACATTAAGTATTTGTCAGATATATAACAGAGGGGAATGAGGAATGTTCTCAAGAAATTGTAAGAGTAACAGGCACTGTAAAATTACGTCATAAACTAGATATCATGTTACAATGTTCAAAATATAAGAAATGGAAATCACTGAAATCTGTTTTGATGTTAAGGGTTAATTGGTGCATGTTTGTATACAAGGATTTTATGTATATGAACGGTATCTGTTTGTTGCCAAATACTACCATGATTATATTTCAATATGATCAATGAAAGATATATATTATTTTGGCCTTAAAAAAATTCAGACACAGAGGACCCTACATGTTAGTTAAAAATATATATTCAAGAGTATTTGTACAAACTACATTTTTTTTAAATAAAACAGTATATTCATACTAATTGCCAATCTCTAAAATGTTGATTGTATTAACAATGCAGTGTCTACATCCAGTTTGCATTGACAATAATCATATGATTGTGACACAGATAAAGCTGATTCTTAACTTCATTAGGCCTTGCTTTTTATGTTTCCTTGTTCTAAACTGATGTTACAAATTCCAACATAAACAAATTATTAATGTTTTTCTTTTTTCTCTTCACACCAAAAGATATCTTCATTGCACAATGACTCTAATTATTTTATTTAATATCTTGGCACACTTGTGCATGTCTACTAGTATTTGATTACACATGCATGACTTTTTAGCTGTCATCTGTTTCTGAACTGAATTTTATGCTGATAAAGATAAGTAACATAAAAAAGGGACTGGTATTCTTTCAGGTTTGGAGAATCAATCAATTCATAGTGAAAACATTTTTTATTTCTTACATAAGTTACTTTGATCTTGATAAGATCAAAATAGATACAAATTAAATTGAGGAGATTAAATTATGCAGTCTTATTCATTTCAGCCAGTCTGTCTAAAATCCGGTCCTATTTTTCAGGCAATAACAAATGAATGAAAATTTAAGAAAAAATATACCTTACCTGAGTGAATCAATCAATATGCATATTGACTGAAATGTTCAGTCAAAATACATATTGGGGCTGATTATTGACACTGACTGTAACATATGTAAGTATAATCTGTTATATGAAAAAACAAATAACATAAATAAATCCATTTATCTACATGGAATGACTGTGGGGTTCAATTTGCATTTATTTAACCATCAGAAGATTTGATGATAAACTTTCATATTCATATAAAAATCATATTTGCTATATGATAATAATATCTACAAAATATACTTTATACTACAGGTGTCTTGAAGTACTGTTGAATGAAAATCAGGATACTTAGATACAGCAGGATAGTGTGTTGGTTTGTATGGGAAATAATTTGTCAACATTTAAATAAATATAATGTTACTAAAACAAGAAGATAAAACTATGATTTAGTTCTATTTATGCATCATACACATTTTGTGGGGTAGTCAGTATGATTTGTTGTTTGTTGGGACACATCTCTGTAATTAACTACTATTTTAAGAGCATGAGTACCAGAATTCTGTAAGAAATGATGGATCAACTAATTAACACCTGTGATGACTCAGAGCACTTAATGGTGGGACACATGTTATAAGGGGCAGAATAATATGGGTAAATCTCTTATTTCAATGTATGATGACTGGTATGTACATGTATATTGCAACTAAGTAACTGAGTGCTTAGATCTAATAGATGCATGGCAGATGTTCATTTGGCCTATTTCTAAAAAAAAATTATAAATTCAAATATTCAGATGCAACTTTAATTTTGATATAAAAAGTAACATTTAAAATCAGTTGTTTTATTATTTTGAACGTTATTTCTTCGTAAAATATTTGTAAAGGCGCGGATGAATACTTACTATATAGATCATTGGTAAAGGCCTGTCAAAGTTGTCTGTGTGCTGCAAATGTTTGCGTATCACTAATTTTATTAAATTGAAGTCCATGGTATTATTTATTGAGATTTGAATGCTTGAATTGTTGTGGGAAATAACACAAAGGCTGATAAATAAAATGAGTTTGCATTATTTCATCGATGCAATATGTTAGCCCAGACTGAGAGAATGCCTCGCTGTTTTCTGACGTAGAAAATACCGTGGCAATATACCATTTTTCATGACGTTTTTCCCGCTATATTCCAAAGTGACAATTCGTCTTGTAGTTGAAGACTCAACAAATGTTGATATTATAAACTAATAATCACTACAAAATATGTGCTAGTTAAAAATATTCAGTTGTAAACGACCGTTTTTGAACGAAGGTGCAACAGGATAACTCTTTAGCTTGGCTCCGTCTCTACATGTCAGTAGTTGTCGCAGCGCGCATTGATCCGGGAACCAGACCGGAAGCGACAGTTTGGACCGTCGCTTATATCATTTCAAAAGGAGAGTTATTGCCCTTTGGAACAAAAAGATCAAGCTCCTTCCCAGCGCGCGACACCTTCGTTACACTCTCGGGAACATAGCGATAGTATAGAGAGCTCCGCGAATGGGCTATCGCTGGGAGGAGCTTGCAAAAAGATCGCCCATTGGGATACGATAACATGCATCAACCAAGTCAGCAAGTCTGACCACCCGATCCCGTCAGTCGTCTCTTACTACAAGCATAGCGGCTTTTACAGCACGCATGCTTTGCCGAAGACCTATTCTATCCCGGATCTTCATATGTCTGATCGCAACGTTAAACTCCATTTCACCTCGCCTTTAAGTGGATGGCGTCCATAATAAACTGTCGGAATAATTTCACTTTGGTTTGTGTTTCAGGTCGTTTAACACTGACGTCAATTTTGTGTGTTCTGCTTATCACCGTGCTCGCCTATGATGTTATGTTGGAGAACTTCGAGGCATTACGGTATAAATACCAGGCTCACAGGACAAGATACATCTGCTGCAATATGGTAGGCGGGCTCGGTAACCTACTGTTTCAATACGCATTCACGTTGGCCATGTCACGACGCTTTAACATGACAATGGTGTGTGAAACCGATCAAATTCACAAGTTACAACAGATCTTCACAGTCCCCGACTGTGCTAATGACTCCAAAGGCATCCGGCTGTGTTTTGGAGAACCCGCAATCAAAAACGAGTACAACATTGGCTATGATTCGAAAGTTGGAAATCTGCTGCTTAATAGTGACTCTCATTTTGAAGGCTATTTTCAATCCTGGTTATACTGGATAAAACATGAGAACGTCATCAGAAAACATTTAGCCATCAAATCCGACTTAAAGACATCAGCTAAAAACTACATCGACGCCTCTCTACAGGAACTCGGAATTAAAAACAGAACCGCGGTTTCACTTGTTGGAGTTCACGTTCGACGGGGCGACATGCTGAAAGGTTTGTTTCGTGATTACGGATATTCTGTAGCAACTGAGGAGTATTTCCACAAGGCTATGGCTTACGTCGAAAAAAGAGTTGCGAAACCGGTTGTGTTTGTTGTCAGTTCAAACGACATGGAATGGTCCCGAGCAGTTGTCAAGGAAACGAATGCAGTGTTCTTGGTGAACAACACAAGGGAGTTCGACTTTGCAGTGTTGTCGATGTGCGAGCACTTCATTATGTCCGTGGGAACATTCGGTTGGTGGGTAGGTTGGCATATTCAAGGAATGGTTATTTATTACTTAAAACCATTCCGACCAAACTCGGAGCTGTCTCGCGTGTTTACCAACGACTTTGTAACAACCTTTACCTACCCGAAATGGATCGGGATGAGCTAATATATGTATGAACGTGCATAATGAATGATGACATTGTTTTTGGCTTGGTGACCACCTCCATGGTCTTTAGGTAGAGCGTCCGCCCGGACAGCGAACGTCGAGGGTTCGATCCCCGGCCACGTCATACCAAAAGACGTTAAAAGATGGTACTTGTTGTTACCTGCCTAACGCTCGGCATTAAGGGTCTGAAACAAGGACTGGTCGGCTGGGAGTCGTATACTGTGTCTGAGTGGGGTATTCATGTTCAACTGCAGCATGGTATCTCAGTGGGCCAGAACTATAAGATCGGCATCAGTCCGGGCTGGTACAAGCAGCCACACATACACACACACACACGTACATGCATGTCTCTATAAAAGTGCAATAATCTTGGACGCGACGTTAAACCCCATTTCACCTCACCTTTTGGTTTGTTCCCGTTGGCGTCAGCGCTCCCATCTTAATCCGAGCCTTAACTTGAAAACCGTAGAATTGTTTTTAACGAAACTTGTCATGTGCATAGCTCATCAACTTTTTGCAATTTTGAAGTTTTTCTTAATAATATTTCGTAACGTTTCTATGGAAACAGACCGCCTCCGTGGTCTAGAAGTAGACCGTCCGCCCGGAGAGCGGAAGGTCCGGGGTTCGATCCCCGGCCGCGTCATACCAAAAGACCGTAAAAGATGGTACTTGTTGTTACCCTGTCTGGCGCTCGGCATTAAGGGGCTAAAAACAAGGACTGGTCGGATCGGAGTCAGTATACTGTGTCTGAGTGAGGTATTCATGTTAAACTGCGGCATGGTATCTCAGTGTGCTAGCACTATAAATCGGCATCAGTCCGGACTAGCACACACGCACACACACGCACACACACACACACACACACACGTGCATGCACGTCGTTATATTAGTGCAATAATCTTGGACGCGACGTTAAACCCCAATTTACCTCACCTTTTGGTTTGGTTTGTTCCCGTTGGCGTCAGCGCTCCCATCTTAATCCGAGCCTTAACTTGAAGACCGTAGAATTGTTTTCAACGAAACTTGGTATATGCATAGCTCATCAACTTTTTGCTATTTTGAAGTTTTTCTTAATATTATTTCGTAACGTTTCCATGGAAACAATTTGGTCCTAGTCATAAACAACTCAAGGCTTCGCTTCCGAGCCACTATCCTCAAACTAATGTATAGTTTTGCATGAAACTATTCATGTGCAGTGACCACATGCTCAACTAATTGCCCTTTTATATTTTTATATTATTTAGTTTTTTAACTTCTTGTGTTTCTCTCGGAGATATGTTTGTGTAAGTAAAAAGACATTCTAGTTCGATATTTTTCTGTTTAACTTAATATGTGATATTTAGCATGACTCTTCTCTGTCAATATGTTTATCAAAATGAAAAATGTGTTTATTTGTAAAGAATCTAGTCTGGACCGCCAACATATAGCTGGAATATTGCTGAGTGCGGCGTTAAACTACCAACAAACAAACCATAAAAAGTCGCGTCAGGTGAACTCTGAGCGAACTTTGACCGCTAATCAAAATGAAGGATGCGTAGGTTCATGAGCCAATCAGATGACAGCTTTCTGAAACTGCTCAGTTTCATTTCTTTACCACTTAGATTCGGAATTTCAGTTGCGTGGATCGATGCTTATGATATCAATCACTGGACTGCCTGGTCCAGGCTCGATTATTTACAGACCGCCGTCATATAGTTGGAATATTGCTGAGTGCGGTAACCAACAAACAAAGAAGCAAACAAACAAATCGATTGTACTCCCTTTTGTGTGTAGATGCCATAGGGCTGAGAAACGACATGGTGTTTAACATGTCCACAACAATATACTGGCGCGGCAATCAGAGCTTATTTCGTTTTCGAGATCGAAAAATCATATACAGTAGACTACTGTTATAACGAACTAATTTTTGTTCATAATAACCGTAGTTCGTTATAAGCATACATACAGCATCTATACAACAAATGGTCGGGACTAAAAATAAGTTCGTTACATCCGTCAGTTCGTTATAAGCATGTTCGTTATAAACGTAGTTTACTGTATGCTGGTATGGACGTTTCGCTGCCTATCATCTGACGCAACATCTTGTGGCGATGTCCGCATACCTTCGCTGAGAGGTTTCTTATCTGGGGAAAACAGAACTTACTTTAATGACGGTTATGGCCCTTGGTATGTCCTTATTATCATACGAGTACAGTGCTCGTGGCTATCACCAAATTCTTCAGCCCGCGTCACGGATTTGGGATTTTTCTCAAAGTGGGAGAGATATGACAATCGGTATTGGGAGAAAAGGTACAGGTAATCGACGTGAGGATTGGGAAATACCCACCTGTGCATAATGATGAAATAGACTTGCCAACATTGCCGCGGTCGGACTCGATTCATTTTTGAAGTACGGGTAAATATTGTTTAAGCTTGTACATTTTATCATCATCCTTAAAGAGGCTGTACATAATGTTATCTCATATAGGAAATAAAACGACTGTGTTTATATTCCCGGCACTGTTTTTTTTGTGTGTATTTTTTGTGTATGATAAACAACGACCACGAGTCGTTTCTTTCTCAACTCCAACCCACATGAAGCGTAATAAAATCTTCTGGTCAGACTTTTGAGGGGAATGCAGGTGGCATCATCCACTATGTTATGTCCAGGGCTCATTTTTCGAGCAGTTGAGTGAGTGAGTGAGGTGGGTTATCGCCGCAGTGAACACTATTTCACGGCGTGTCGGCTTGATGTTGAAGGAAAGCCCGAAGTGATGCAGGTCTCAGACGTTTACCACTTCGGTGAAACCCACGACCACGGGTATGGTGCTGACAAACCTAGAAACATTATCGGGGCGAACCGGGATTTCAAACCAGAAGCATAGGTTTCTGGCACACCCCTGACGACTGCGTCACGCGAGGCGCTGAAACGGGGAATCACCAGTACCACAGTTGAGTTGTGTTAAGTGCAAAATGCTCATTAATGAAATCATCTGGAAATGCTGGATTGCTATATATACTCGACCGCAAAAGAAATGTATACAAACGACTGAGACGCATTTAAAACACTTCACATCATTCATTTGAGCACGTCATAGGAAGCAGTCGTTTCGTCTCGTTTGACGTTTTTTGCACTTGCAGCGCAAATCACATGAAGACATGAGCGCATTTTCCCCTTTGTGACCTCTTTATAAGGACCCGTGAAGATTCCGGGGTAGAATAGGTCTTCAGCAACCCATACTTGCCGTAAAAGGCGACTATACTTGTCGTAAGAGGTGACTAACGGGATCGGGTGGTCAGGCTCGCTGACTTGGTTGATACATGTCATCGATCCCAATTGCGCGGATCGATGTTCATGATAATAATCACTGGATTGTCTGGTTCAGACTCGATTATTTACAGACCGCCGTCATATAGCTGGAATATTGCTGAGTGCGGCGTTAAACAACAAACCAACCAACCAACCAACCTTTATAAGCCACCCTTTGAAAAAACACCAATCATTCATACACGACTTTGAAAAAGGACAGGAAACGTGATTCGATTAACTGAACTCCAGAGAGAGGTTGCCATTGGGATGCTACACGCCGGATCAACGTCAACTGAAGTGGCGAGGCACTTTGGGTGTCATGTGTCTACCATCACCAGATTGGTCGCAAGGCAGGAACAGACAGGCAGTGTCCGAGAACGGCCTCGTCCTGGATGGCCTAGGGTCACCACTCCAGCGCAGGGCCGTTACATCTGCATCACCGACAGACAACACAGACATCTGCAACCATTCAAGGTCAACGTCATCCCGTGTCAGCCGACATAGAGCGGCGGGAATCAGATGTCATCGCCAACAACGTCTGCAGTGGGCCCAACAGCACCTGCGTTAGCGACGTCAACAGTGGCAGCAAGTTGTCTTCAAAGACGAATCAAGGTTCAACCATTATCACGCACCAGAGTGTGGAGACGACGTAATGAGCGTTACGCTGACTGCTGTGTCTTACAGGCCAACCGGTGGGGAGGAGGAAGCATCATGGCGTGGGGAGGCCTCAGTTGTCATCACAGGACCCCTGTACGAGTGTTCTGTCAGCGTGTGACTGCTATCGTGTACAGGGATGATGTTCTTCGTAATCACGTCAGACTTCTCATCCTGGAAACCTCAACTCCAGGTCTTTCAGCAGGACAACGGTCGTCCCCATACAGCACGGGTCTCAATGGACTTCCTCAGGGTGAATAACATTCCTGTGATGCCCTGGCCGTCTTGTCACTGGACATGGCGCTAATTGAGCATGTCAGGGACGAGATTGTGAGAAGTCTTCAATCTGCAAGGCAGGCAAATACACTTCAGGAACTTGATGGGGGAACATGGAACGCGATATCACAAGCCTTCTTCCAAAGACTTGTCGACTCAGTGAGACGATTATGTGCGGCTGTATCGCGGCTTATGGAGGCCACACACGCTATTGATGGACACGACAGACACTTGTCATTTTCTGTTTGGAAAGTCCCCTGTTTTCGGTGGGATTTTTCAATAAACACGGATGGTTGTCATCAAACAATCAACGCCTATTTTTTTATCAAATGTTTCTTTGTTATCATTTCTTAATATTATCTACATTGTTTTTATGGTCTTATCCGCATGTTATGTACAACTTGCGTTTCTTCTGAGGTTGAGCATATGTAAGACAGTCTTCGTCTGTTTGGCCTTGCTCGGCGCCCACTCTGCATGCACAACAAAAAGAAAAATGAAATAGTGTTTGCAAACCACGGAATAGAGATCGTTTATGCGTTTTTTGTTCAATATATGTGCTCATTAATATTCACATATATAAGGAAATGTTGACAATATCCTCTGCACGTCCAAACCGGGTTCTAATTTCCAACCATACTGCATTAGGGGCTGGCCATATGACCCTTTTTGAAAACAATACCATGTGTGATAGATATATGGAAAACTCTTGGAAATGTGCACTCGATAGTATGACTAAAATAAAATAAAGCCACAAAAATAATGACTTTATATACCCATTCGAAGTTTTTTGAATTAAA